CAGGGCAGGGATGCCTCCCACACTCGGCGCGGGGCAGGGCCTGGGCACGAAGCCATCATCCTCCCACTGGCAGTGGGCGTGGGGACAGGGCAGTTTCGGCAGCCACCTGATTCAGGGAGGCTGTTGCAGCTCGTTCCTCCTGCCCTGCAGCTCCTGCACATGAGTCACGGCTGCAGCAGCTCCTCACCTCACCCCTGCCGGGGCCTGGGGTCCCAGGGCTCCAGCTCACCCCTGCCCCAGCAGGAGCAGGAGGCACTGGCTGCCCATGTCACCCTCTCCAGGCAGGAGGGCTGGGAGAGGGGAGGGAAGGGCGGGTTGCTGCTGCTCCCCTGCCATGGAACCCAGGTGCTCACAGGCTCTGCGGCTCCCGACTGGATCCCATCAGGTAGGGCAAGTGCTGCTGGTTGCAGGATGACCCAGGACCTTGCTCACTATGCAAACACTGTGACCACAGGGGAAATGTGCTCACTCCACTGGCATCTGCCTAAATTTAGCTGCTGTTAGGTCATCCCTTTCCGCTGCCTCCTCACTCCAGACTCTGCACGGCGCAGGATCCATCCCTGTGCCCTGCACTGAGGCGCTGGCCATGCTGTGGGACAGTGCCCAAACCCCCTGTGCCCTCCTGGGCACAGCTTCCCCAGAGCTGTCAGCAGAGAATTGGATTCTCAGCAGCTCTGCTGTGCTGGGCACCTCAACAATCCTGGGAGCATTGGCTGGTGCTGGACTTCGCCAGCCCCTGTGACATGGACGGGAGGGATGGAGTGGTGTAGAGCCCCTTCCATGTCTCTGCACAGCCCCTTCCATGTCCCTGCACAGCCCCTGCCGTGCCCCGTCCCAGCCCGGCGCTGGCAGCCCGAGGCTGCTCGCCCTGACAAGTGCATCCTCTAGAGGGAACTGCCAGCCCAGAAATGGGTCTGCCTGCCTGTGCAGGGCTGGCTGCAGCGATGGATGGCTCCCGGGGCAGCTGGACGAGGTGCTTCACCCCACGAGGGTGTGAGTGGGACCAGAAGTGGGGATACAGTGTGGTCAGGGTGGCCAGCTCCCTCCCCAGTCACCATCCCTCCTGCCAGCTCGCCTGGGGACAGCAGAGGTGGTGGCTGTGTGACCAAGTCTCCATCACAGGGCTTTGGAGGTGGAAAAAATCTCTGTGCCACAGCACTCAACAACTTCGTGGTGTGTAACCCTTCCCCACTGTAGGGACAGCACAGGGTGGAAGGTCAGATCCCAGCCATCCTGTCCCCTTCAGGGGATGATCAGAACCCCCAACCTCCCAGAGGTGTTTGTCTGCAGAGCCCCTTCTCCCTCTGCTTTGCAGGGGAAGAGTCCATCAATGTGGTCGGGGCCGTGCTGGGCATCGGGCTGGCCTTGCTGATCCTGGTGGTTTTGGGCTACACCTTCATCCGGTGGTACCAGAGGGGCTGGTGCTGGCACCGTGAGTGAGGGCAGGGCAGAGGGGACAGGTGGTGCTGGGGCAGGGAGGGTTCAAAGGTCAGGGCTGCAGGGTCTGGGGAGCACCCCGACCTTTGCTGGCCCCTGGGAAACCTCCGTGCGGGGGCTCTGGGGCGAGCTGGGGACACGCAGAGGCGAGGAGGGCGATGCACCCTGATGTCCTGGTGCTGTCCCACTGCCTGTCCTGCCTGTCCCCGTGCTGCCACAGACTCACAGCAAAGCAAAGGTGGGTTCATGGCACCACATGGCTCTGACACCTCTTCCTCCTGCCTCTCCAGGGCCTGACTTCGTCTTCAACCTCTACCACACACAGTGAGTGTTGCCCTGGGGGAACGTGGGGTGGGCTGGCTGCTCAGTGTGCTCGGTGCTGAGGTGTCACACACCCTCACCAGTCCTGAATCCCCCACCTTCTGCAGTTTGCAGGCGCTGCCTCCCCAGGGTGGCTGTTCTGGGGGTCTCCATGGGGACAGTGCCCACCCTGCGGGCTGGCAGGGGCTGGGCAGCTTGCTGACATCTCTGCTCTCCCCACAGCGGGCTGGGGTCAGTGGCAGTGGAGCTGGTGCCCCCATTCAGCATCAGTGGCTCTCTGAGCACCACGGGCAGTGGCTACAAGCCCTTCCACACCCGGGGGCCATGAGGAGGGAGCCGGGCTGCTGAGCAGGTAGGACATCACCCTGTGATGGGTGTGGGGTCCCCAGCCATGCATGTCCCCCCAGCACAGCCCGTGGGTGCCTCTGAGGAGCCCAGGGGGATGACAGTGCTGTGCCCCAAAGCCTCCCTGCTGCCTTGTAGCCCCTGGGCATCGCAGCTTTCCCTGGGATAGTCCCAAGGTTTTCCCAGCAGAAATCCTGTGGCTGTGGGGCTACAGGGGCTTTCCCTGGGTTCCGGTTTTCGTTTCCCCTGGACAGGCTTTGGTTTGCATTTCCTTCCCTACTGTCCTTGGCCTGGGGTGGAACATGTGGGGAGGGACAAAGGGGGCTGGGGCTGGAGCCTGGGTGCTCCTGCACCGCTTCCTCTTGCTGCCTCTCACCCACCACCCAGCACCAGCCAAAAAAGCAACCAAAACCGGCTGGGGGGAACTCCTCCATTTTCACTTCTGTAAAAAACAGCCCCTGAACCTGCTGGATTTCTACTGAAATGGTAATGTAGCAGTTTCTGTTTTTAAAAAAAGCTTCACAGAATAGCTGGGGTTGGAAGGGACCTCTGGGGACCACCTGGTCCAAACTGCCACCGGAAAAAGTGACACAGGAATGCATCCAGGAGGATTTTGAATGTCTCCAGAGAGGGAGACTTCACACTCTCCCTGGGCAGCTCCTCCATCTGCTCCCCAGCCACAGCTCTCTTGCTGTCCTTCTCTGGCCATGGGCAGCTCAGGAGGTGCCCGGGGCTGGCACTGGCACAGCCTCCCCTCGCTTGGGATGGAGGAAGAGGATGCGGCCTCATCCCAGGCTCCCTCATCACTCATCCCAGAGAAAACAGGCACCCTCCCCACGGCTCAGAGACCTTCCAGCCCTCAGGACCAGCCACCTGCATGCCCAGGAAACCTGGGGCTGAGAGTGCAGGGCACCAGCTAAGGAGGACAGCCAGAAGCCCCAGAACTGGGTGGCCGGGTTTGTGCAACTGTGGAAAATGCTGTGAAGAAATGGGAAATCTGCTCCAGGCCCCCTCCTCGCTCCGGTGTCTGGACCAATGTGGGAGTTTGTCCCCTGCACCAATAGTGCAAGCAAACACCTCAGAAAGCCCCTGTGAGGTTTGTCCTGATTTTTTCATACCAACTGCCTTCAGTCTCAGCAGAGCAAGTGGCTGTGGAAGTGCCCAGAGCATGAGAGCAGCCGTGGGGAAGGTGCTGTGGCCACAGAGAGGGACCATTTCTATGCAAACTTTCCTCAGAAGGAAAATGAAGAGAAACTCGTGACTCCCCGTGGCTGTGTGCAGGGAAACCAGTGAGGACAGAGCGGGATTTCCAGGCGGTCGGAGGGACTATCAGCACTCTTGGCTACCAGAGCCAAGCCCTGTGGTCTGCAGCTTTCTGGCAAACTCCTGGGTTTGGTTGAAAGGAGAGCTCTGGCTGCTCCTGTCGCCCTGGGTGCTGGCAGCTGGAGCCCTTGGTGGTGGGCAGGAACTGCCGGCGCAGGATCCGCCCGCGGAGCTTTGACGTCAGCGGCGCTTGAAAGAAAAACTAAAAAAAAGGTCAAGCTTAGTTTTGATGACTCTGTTTTCCAGAGGAAGTTGGAAAAAAAAAAAAGAAAAAGAAAGCAAAAAGCTCCAGCCCCCAAAATACACGGAGGCAGAAGAGTTGGGGTCAGTGGAGGGACAGGAGGAGGTGCCCAGTGACCTCCACGGCCGGGCCCCGCGGGATGCAGGCACTGACCTCACGTGTGAGTAGTGCAACATCAGGTGTAACGAAAGGCAACCTGGCAAAGATCAGTGCCCTTCTCCTGCCTGCAGTGACTCATGCTTTCACCTGAAAAACATATTCCCCGAGGAAGGTTTCCACCAGCAGTTTTAATGGGACTATCCCACCGTGAAGGTTCTTGGAAACTACGTGACTCTTGGAAAAACTTCCCTGCTGCAATCTGGCAGCAGTCAGGTGTGTAGCCCGCGGTGAGTTGTTCCATCTCTTGCTGTTTCCATTCTGACAGTAACTATTCACAGAATCACAGAATCAATTAGGTTGGAAAAGACCTCTGAGGTCATCAATCTAACCTATGACCAAACACCACCATGTCAACAAGCCCATGGCACTAAGTGCCACATTCAGTCTTTCCTGGTTTCCCCAACCCCTGGGTTTGATTTGTTCTGCTCTGCCCTGAGGTTCTCCTGTCCTTCCCCGGTGCTGTCCCACAGAATCCCTGTGTATTCCCTGCTGTCCCATCCCATCCCTGTGGAATCATGATGAGCAGTTCAGCTCCTTTTCCCTGCTGCTCCTCTGGTGACTGATCCCACAACACTGCCCTGGGACAACCGCCCTGGTCCTCAGGTGTGTGAGAAGCTCTCAGTGATCTGCCTTGGTTCTCCTTTTTGCAGCTGTGATGTGCTGGAAATGCTCTTCCCCACGTGAGGCAAAGGCACGTTGCCCTTTGCTGCTGGGGAATGTCCGTGCGTGAAAATGGAAAGCGCAGCTTGACCTTAGGAGAGGATGAACAGACAAACAACCCAGATAAATAACACCACATCCTTTGTATTTACAAATTAAATAGAATAAATAATGTCTGCATACAGCAGGGGCAGAACACAGCCCATAGTGTTAAGCAGGGCTGGCCTGGCTCATCGTGTATCCCGTAACCCATGAGACAGCCAGCACCCCGGGGCTCTGCCAGAGGGGCTGGATGCAAAAGGCTCTCTGTGGGGTCAGGAAAGTCCCTCACTCCCTCCATATGAGGTCAGCCAGGGAGGGAGCCCCGTGCTCCAGCAGTAGGGTGGCTGATGTCAGGCTGCCCTCTGCTCCCAGTGTCTGTGTTGTGAAAGGTCTGGATGTCATCGGAGGACGTCACCGGAGCTGTGGATGTCAGCTGGAGGAGCCCAGTGCTGGCCAGAGAAAGGGGGAAGTGGAAACACACAGCTGGCCCCAGCCCCAAGGGTGGCCCTGTGCCTCAGGCTGGGCTGCTGAGGAGGGCAGACAAGACAGGATCATCCTTGGGAAACATCCTGGTGCGTATCCTTGAGCTGGGCGAGCCTCTCCAGCGCAGTCCATCCCTGTCTCTCGTTAGTGTACACCAGAGACCAGCTGGAGGGACACACTGGAGGCTGTCCACACAGTCCTGGGGCCAAAGCAGCCCCAGCAGTAGCTGAGCAGGTGCTTCAGGGACGTGTCTCAGCCCGGCACCACTTGGTTTGGTGTGTTAACATTCAGGGGTGGCAGTAGCTTATTGAGTGGCTGCTCCCCACGGGCAGCGGGTAGAAGAGGTAGTTGTGTCAGTGTGCAGGGCTGGCAGCACCTGCTCCCCGGCCTGGGCACGGCTCACAGGCGGCTGTCCTTGCTGTCCCCACTGAGCAGGCTCAGGGGGTTCACTGGCAGTGTGAGCCAGTCCGTGCTGAGGCTGGAGGTGAGGGGCAGCGTCCCCAGGACGTCAGTGTTGAAGATGCTCAGGTCGAAGGGAGCTTTCAGGAGCTCAGGGCAAGCTTTGGAGACCAAGGGAGCACTTGGAGCCCCCCAGCTCAGCAGAGTGGGGGCTAGGGGTCCCACCTGGCTGGAAAAGTCCAAGGAAGGGGCTCCCCATGGAGCGAGGTCCTGCGCGTGGCCACGGGGATGCTCTGGAGAGGACTGCTTCAAATACCCTTTGGACACAGCCAGCTCGGAGCACTCAACATCCAGCACGAGGTCAGTGCCCTGCCCAGGCCCTTCACAGCCCGAGAGGGGCATTCCCTTGGCTGGGTCCTGCCCTGGCTCCACCGTGCCCCTGCACTGCTGCAGGTACCCGCGGAACTCCACGGCCTCCTGGCCGGTGGCAGGGCAGAGCTCTGGCTCCCCTTGGCTGCTGTTCCCGCTGCTGGAGGAGCACGTGGGACCAGGGCAGGGGCTCTCCAAGCCCACACCGCTGTCGTCGCCAGTGGGCAGCTGTCGCCTGTAGCCCTGGGGCTCAGGGCGGGCGGAGCAGCTCAGTCCGGGGGAGGAGGAGGGGATGTGCAGGCAGATGCCGCTGTCGGTGCTGCTGCCGCTGTTGTCTCGGCTTCCCACGGGTCCCAGTAGGCACAGCCGGTCCTCAGGCCACACTGGGAGCTTCCAGCCCTGCTCCAGGGGCACCTGGGCTGTGCTAGTGCTGCTGTCCAGCTGGGGCTCCTTCTGGCACAGGAACAGCTGTTGGATAGGGTCTGTGTCCAGGCTGCCCAAGGATGGGGGCTCGTGCTCCACCCAGAGTGAGCTCTGCTTCATGAAGGACTTCTGAGAGGGAGAGAAAGAAGGGAGTGAGCTGGGCTTTGTCCCTTTTGTTGCTGGCTTCTCCCAGCACTCCCCAAGCCTGCGCCTGCCCCTCCATGCCAGCCACAAAAGGTGCCTTACCAGGACAGATGGTGTCCTCACAGGTTTCTTTATGTAGGTGTGCACCAGCAGAGCCCCCAGGATCCCCAACAGCACAATGACGCAGGGGCTGAGGATGCTCGGGAGAAGCTCCACAACCCCTGCAAGAGAGGACGTGTCCAGGTGAGGGGGACAGGCAGCGTCCAAAGGGCACAGAGAGGCTGTCCTGGCGTGGACCCCGCCACATCCCCAGGGCCAGGAGGCTGAGGAGGGTCTGCATCCCTCCCTTCCCTGGCCCCCCACTCACTGTGTCTCTGGGCGGTGGTGACACACTGCTCGTCGGTGCGCGTGGTGCCGACGTGCCGGTTGGTCAAGCTGGGCTCCACGCTCAGGCAGTACTCAGTGCCCCAGAGCAGGTTGCTGAGGGTGAACTCTGCCCTGGTCTCCACCACTTCAAACTGCAACAAGGAGAGCACAGGCTGGTACCTGAGAGCCCCCAGGTCCTGCAGCAGGGCTGGTTCCCCCTCTTTCTTCCCCCCTCCTCCCCTCTCCCCTGGGAATGGGACATCTCCCCTCCTCAGCTGACAGCATTTAGCCCCAAAATCCCAAGAACTGGGGAAGCTGCTGCAATAAAACACACAGAGAAACCTCTCTGCTGTGTCATGGCTCTGAGAAAGCTCAGCATTTAGTTTTACAGAAGAACGTGCTTTAACAATGTGTTTTTTCCACCTGAGCAGCACCGTGTGGGACAGACGGGGAGAGCATGGGAGCAGCAACTCATCTCACCATCTTGTTGTCCTGTGTCCTCCTGACGTACACCCGGTACTGCCTCATGTCCTCGTGGATGTCTTCGTACCTCACAGTGACTTTCCCAGTCTGGAAGAGCAGCTGCAGGTGCACATGGATGGTGTTGCCCCTCACGGAGAGGCTCTGGCCCGACAGGCGCAGGCTGGCTGGAGGTAAGTCAGTCGGAAGAGCACGTTAGGGCTGTGTCCTGCTTGCAGCACTGGACTGAGCTGTGACTGTCCCTCACAGCCAGTGCCACCCATCCTCGCTTTGTCCCATCCTATCCTGCAGCCTGCCTGCCCTCCAGGAAGGTGTGGAGGGATTTATCCCTGCTCTCATTCATCCCACAGTTCTTCCCAAGTGGTTTGGCACCCTGACCTCACCATCCTCAGAGCGTCCTACCCCTGGCCGAGGTGAAGGCAGACCCCAACCTACCATCCTGTGGGGAGAAGGAGTTGGTCCTTTGCCACGAGGACGTGTGGTTCCCAGACACGGCCCTGACCCGGGCGTAGTAGCGCTTGTCGGGATCCAGGGTGTAGAAGGTGAGGTCGCAGGATTGCCTCGAGGACTTGGTGCACTCTGGGATGGCCGTCCAGGGGATTTTCGTGCCGTAGCTGCGGGGAGAAGCACCGGGGGTGAGAGCCGTGCGGGCAGCAGGGACTCAGCTGTCCCTTGCCATTGGAGTCAGATGGCAGGCAGGGCTCAGCCCCCACGGCTGCACTCACACTTTGTACTCCACGTCGTAGCAGACGTCCCTGGGGTGGCCGTGTCCCGGCTCCCACTCCAGCACGTGCCACGTGGTCTCGGCAGCGAAGCGCACGCGCCGGGGGCTCGCCAGCCCCTCACCTGCGGGACCCACGGTGGGCGTTGGGTGAGGCTGCACAGCCCCCCGTCCCACTGATGCCCACGGGAGCTGGGCAGGGCCCTTGGGAAGGCCTCCTGGAGCGTCACCCCATGTTTAGTGCTGACCACTCGAAATGTGTAAGGATTTCCACGGATTTCTTTGTCTGAGTTTCAGCGTTTGCTCATCCCCATCTTCCCCTTCCTTTCTCTTTGGGCAGAGCCCAGCTCAGCCCAGCCAGGGGGTTCCCCGTGCTTTTCTGCCCCCAGAAAGGAGCTGTATTTGCATCCCCAAGCCCCTGCCATTGGCCACGGGGCCTCTGTCCGGACTCAGCTTTCTCGCAGCTGTGTTTGGGCTCCGCTTTCCTGTTTTGCTCATCTGCTGCCTGGATGAAACAGACTGTTTTCACACCTCCTGCCTGATTTCAGTCCTGTCACCTGGCAGCAAAGCCTCGGCTCGATAACATCTGCCACCCCCCGTGTGGGTTTCCCTGGCAGCTGCTGTCTGCCGGCAAACACCGAGCCCAGCAGCGGCCGTGGCACCTTGCCTGTGATCACAGCGCTGGGGACAAGCGAGGCTGGGGACTCAAGAGCCTTTGGGCTCCCAACCAGCAACAAAAGGCAAGTGGCAAGCAGGGAGCCCTGGCCGTGTCTCGCTCCAAAGCGCCCGTCTGAGCACCCAGTGATGGTGTCCAAGCTGTGGCTCCAACCTGCTCCCTGCCTGCCTCCCCCATCCCGGAGCCGCGGAGATGAGCGGGGAGATGAGAACCGGTGCGGGCAAGAGACTCACCGTGCGTGTGCGGGGTGAGGAGCAGCGCCAGGCACAGCGCCAGGGCAGGGGCAGAGGGGCCCATGGCAGCCCAGCATCCTCCGTGGCAGCAGGGTGAGTGCGGTGCCGAGCTCTGCCCCGGCGGGTGCCGAGCGCCTGTTTTTCCCCGGGGGTTGGCTCAGTGACGTCTCGGAGGCGTTCGCAGAGCAGGAGGAAAGTCGCTGTGCAGCTACTTCCACTTTCTGTTTTTTTGCTGTCCACCCACTCACCCCCAGACAATACCTCAGCCCTGGGCTGGGCATTTCCAACTGCAGACTTAAAGGAAGAATTTTGGGGGCTTTTCTGAGCAAAACGGTGCAGTGCTGAGAAAGGCAAGTACAAGTACACGATGTCTCTGCCTTTGCTGCTTCCTTACGAGATGAGATGTTAAAAGCACAGCAAAGGTGAGTGTTAGCACTGAGGGTGACCTGTCACAGGGATTTTACAGAGCACAGCACCATGTCCTGTCCTGCCAGCTGCTAAATCCAGCCAGGTTCCATCCAGCCCTGGAGCCCCAGGAGAGGGTTCTGGCTTTCCCTTCCTTTGGGCTCGGCCTGTACCCTCCCATTTCTTTCCCCATGTATGGGGCTGAGTGACAATTTCTGGGTTATTCTGTGTCCTGCAAACACCTACACACATCTCAAATCCAGTGTGGCAGGGGGCTGTCGCTGTCCCCAGGGCTCTGGTAGCCCCCCAGGTATGGCCATGACTCACGTGGCTGTGGGGTCTGGCCCCACGGTGATGTCCTGCCTATCTGGTGATGCTGAGACCTGAATTATCCCCTCCCTCCAGGGGCTGTGAGTCCTCTGTTTGCCTTCTGGCAGGTGGGATTACAGGAGAGCTTGCTTGAGGGTTTTCCTGGAGCCCTCATGTGATGGGGAGTGATTCACCCCAAGAAGAGGAATTTCCCAGTGGGGAATAAGTGGAAAAGACACAGAAAAAAAGAGTAAGAGGAACCAAAAGTGCTCGGGACAGACTCAGAGAGCATCATGTCAGGCCTGGCTTGGTGGGCACAGAGGTGCAGGACCTCAGGTTCCTCCTTGAAGAATCATCTTAAATGCCTTAAGTGGAAGATTTCTGCTGTTTTCCCTGACTCGTCCTTCCTGCTAAAGGCCAAGGGCTTCCACAAACTTGCAGCCTGGTCAGAGCACCAGCAGCAGATGCCTTCCTGCCCTGGGTTTATTCCCCAGTCTTTGGCAGGTCTGTCCTATGACTCTGCTATCAGCTCCTGAGTCAGATCTGGCAGCCACTGAACTTAGAGTCCTGAGATGAAGCACAGCCCATCCCACACAAAGCCACAGCTTGTGTTTTGTGTAAAATAATGACAATTAAAAGCAACAGAACCAAAAACGAGGGAAGAGGGAGCTTCGTGGAAAAGACACCATGGGGCTGGTCCTGCGGGTGAGGCGGTTCAGAGGCTTGGGAGAAGGGGTTGGCGATTTAAGGGAAAATGAAACAGGCTGAGGAGAAATGAGAGTTCTGCAGAAGGCTGGGATGGTGAGTGGCACAGGCACCCTGGGGGACTCGGACTGGCAGCTGAGCTGCTGCACGGTGGGCAGTGTGACCTGCGGGTGATGTGGCTGACCCTGAAATATCTCCTGGTGGACACACTGCAGAGAAACCCAGGGCAGGGACAGCTGGGTCTGTGTTTCCCTAGCCGGTGTCCCTCGGGAAGTTTTCCCAGGGTGACAGAGGGGTCAGGCAGGGATGCTGCACTGTTCAGTGCAGGGCTGGAGCCGGAGGGCTGGGTCTGCACAGCCCTGCCGCAGGACAGGAGCAGAGTGATCCTCTTCCCTCCCCAGTTCCCTCGTGCCTGGAGGTTGGAGCGGAACGCGGAGGAGCCGCCGGGCTCTCCTGGGCTGGTGGAGCCGGCTCTGGCTGTGGGTGCTATTATCACCTCTGTGCTAGCTGGGAGGGCAGGAGGGTGCTGCAGGGCTCACAGCAGCAGTTACCAGCAGGCAAGGGTGAGGATTTCACCTGGGAGGTGTTGTGCTCGCTGACATTTACCATCAGGCTGCTGGGGTCAGGCCGGACACACTGTTCTCTGTGACTTGTTTTCTGTAGAAACACCGGCAAGTAGTGAATGATTCCTGGAGTTGTCACCTGGAGCTGCTTTCTGAAAATCCCTTTTGAAGAGGATGTGGCAGCTTCTGTGGACATGGCTGGCTGGCTCAGGGCTGGCTGGGGATGCAGCTCAGTGCTTGGCCAGCCCCACTACCCAGCAGGCTCAGCCTGCAGAGGCACGGAGGAACCACAAAGAGCAAACAAAAAACCCCCAAACCCACTTCTGCCTGTGAAAACTGCAGAGGAGTGTGCTGTGGAGTGAGGGCTGGCTCAGAAACCCCCCATGGAAGATGGGATTCCCAGAACAGGAGGAGACAGTGGGATCCAGCACAGGCTTTGCAGCCTCAAAATGAAGGGGCTTTGCAGCAGGGTTTCTCCAAGCTTGGATGTCCCTGCTTGTCTCCTGCCCTTCCAACAAGCAGGTGTGGGTGGGGAGCTGGATGAATAAGGGACTTACTCTATGAATAATGCCAGGAGAAATGTGTGGCAGTGAGGGTCGTGGGTCTGGATATCAGAGAGCAGCTGGGCCTTTTTCTTTAATCTGGTTATTTCTGTTTCCACCTGAGTTCTTGGTTAAGCAAAGCATCCCCAGCTTGTGCTTGAAGGGCAGGCAGGAGGGTGCTGCTGGCTGCTGGCAAAAGGATCACTTCATTAGTAAAGGAGTGAAAAGGCCTCTAGAGAAACTAGAGGGAAACTGCATTTTGTTTCCCTCGGAACAGGGAATTCTTGACTTCTGGGTCACACCAGAGAGGTTTTCCTGGGGTTGGGCATGGCTGTGCATCCCCTCCTCTCCCATCCTCAGCTGGCACGCTTAGCCCTTGGCTGGACTGGAGAGGTTGTGGGTGAATGTGTGGTGGGCACAGAGTAAAGAAGGGGGGAATTGGGTGGGCAGGCAGCCAGGAGAGCAGCAAAGAATCAGGGAGATCAGGATGCCACCGTCCCCTGGGGCCAGGGGATATCTCACCTGCTCCCAGACTCCCGCCCCTCTGGCCACGGGCAGGCTCCCGCTCCCACTGCCGGGGCGGCCGGCACAGGGGCAGGTGTTTTGCATGTTGTGCCCGGAGCAGTTGGGAAACAGGCAGTGGTGGAGCCGGGCGGCAGGTCCGACTGGTTTCCCTCCGCGCTGGCACTGACGTACGAGCCGCTCTCCAAACAGCTCCTGCCCCGTCCCCGTCCCCCGGCTGTGCTCGGCCCCGCGCTGCGCGGGATGGCCGTGCCGGAGCTGTGAGCCCAGCCCAGCCCGCAGCGGCCCATGGACGGCAAAACCCCTCCGGTAAGGCACGGGCAGCTCCCCGGCTCCGACCCCGCGGGGGGGACGGGGGTGCTCCGGGGCTGGATGGACCCGCTCTCCTTGGGGTTTGGTGGAGAGCCCAGTCTCTCCTCCCTGCTCTCCAGGGTGTTGCCTTCGAAGCAGGCAGTGGGGAGAAGGAGCCAGGATGAGCTGCCTGGGGGGCTGCTGCCTCCGGCACTCTTGGGCACGTGGAGGGAGGGGGACAGTCACCAGCGTCCCTGGCGTCAGCTCCGTGCTGGCAGAGGAGGTGTTGGGGCCCCCCGCATCCTTCTGTGCCACGTTGAAGTGGAGTTGTGAACTGGGGGGACCAGTTGGTGCTGTCAGTGGGATCTGGTGCCACTTGGCACCCGTGGGAGCCACACTGAGTTCCTGAGCCCTCCGGCAGTTTCCAGCAGCACTTTGGCAGCAGTGGGCTCAGCCCTGCTGCTCTGCTTCACCGTCTCTCTGGGCAGTTTTCGGGCTGGGTTGACTGGGACCTGCTCAGCCTTGGATGTGGGACTTTGCTGAGCATCCTGTCATGAGGAAAACATCCATCCCGGCTGGGCACCGGGCGAGGCCGTGGGTAATTACCGTGCCGAGCGCTGCCGGCTGTGCCAGCGACGTCTGGGACGTGCAAAGCTGGCGGTGATGGGGTGGCTGGGGCTCGAGGGGAGGCAGGGCCAGCTGTAACACCATTCTCTTCCTACCCCTTGGCATGGGGGTGCCAGCCAGGAGCAGGGGCAGAGTGGGCTCGTGCCAGATGCTGGCTGGGTCCATGGAGCAGCCTGACCCCAGCACTGCTCTGCAGAGTGGTCCCGGCTCTGGGTGGCCCCAAAGCAGGTGGCATCACTGTGTCTTGGTGATAGCAGGGCGTGAACTGGGATGCTCGCGTATAGAGACAGTTGCCCAATACTGGACATCCCCACTGGGCCACCTTGGCTTTGTCACTTGGATTAAATGGGCCACCAGGAGTCCCAGAAGCCACCTTGGCTCTGCAGCTGCGGGAAAGTCACTTCGCCTTTCCGTGCCTCGGTTTGCCCATCCATGGAATGGGGTGAGCAGCCATTACTCACCCCCTGGAACATTTTCGGGTCTCTACCCAAAGGGCTGCTCACACTGGCACAGGGCAACCTGTCCCTGGCCGCATCAGGCTGACTCAATTGACATGGCTTGTCACCTGCACTTGCAAAATGGCCCTGGCGTGCTTTGGGATTTCACTTCCCCGTGTGCTGCCCCTTTACAGCATCGGGGCCTCGGCAGCGTCCTCTGGCAGCCCCTGCCCCGTTCTGGGGCTGGGGTCTGTCCCTTCCCAGGGAGGCTCTGCTCAGCTGTGACACTCAGGCAGGACTGTGTCACCAGGGGGGATCAGGGCTCTCACAGGCTGGGTAGGGCTTTGTCCCTGGCGAGGACAATGTCTCTGTTGTGTGCTGGCTGAGCTGCTCTGCGCAGACAATTGGTGCTCACAGGCAGGTGAAGGAGCCGGTTCCCAGCCTGGACACGGGTCTGTGGGCACCTGGGAGCGATGGTGAGCGTGGGCAGCTGAGCTCAGCTGGGGGGATGATCAGCTACTGAGGCAGCTCCAGATTCTGAGCCCATGTCCTTGTGCTCCTCCGAGGCACGGCCGGGACCTGGTCCGGTTACAACACCCAGGTGTTACCCGGCTTCCGCTCTCCCTCCCACTCCGAAACTGCGGGTGACTGCTGGCTGCTTTCCCTGCTTCCCTCCCCATTGCCCACGGATCCTGAGCCTCCAGCCCAGCCCGGATCACCTTTCCCCTGGTGATTGTCCCCTGCTGCCATGGATCTGGGGGCCTTCCCTCTGCAGCAGGGAGCTGAGCTGCAGGTCAGTGCACGTGGCAGCTCATGGTGCAGAGGGGATGGGCATCTCAGCGCTGCTGTCTGTGGTTCAGGTGCTTTGCCCGGCTCTTCTCAGAGCCTCAGAGCAGAGAGAAGGAGTGATATGGTGTTTGCACTCCTGACACGTTTAGCAAAGGGCTCATGCTGCAGACAGGCACTGTCCGCTCATCCCCCAGCGTGACGTGAGTAGAGCTGGCCAGGTATCCCCGTGTGTGTCCCCAAAATCCCTCCCCACTGTTCTCTGAAATCCATCCCTGCCACAAACAGAGGCTGGCTGTGCTCCCCCTCCCCACAGCTGCCTTTGGCACGTACCACCCTCAGGGCTGGTGGTGGAACGTTTGCAGAGAGGGCGTTGGGGAAAGGCCTCAAACCGCAGCCGCTCGTGCGATACGGGCTCGGCTCTGCCTCTGACTTTTACTCAAAAGCCAGCAAAGGATGAGTAAAGGTTTTGTGGGCAGGAGCTGTCACTCCCTCACCGGGGTTTTGCGCTCTTCTTAACAGAAACATCTTTGTAAAACCACTGCTATTTTCTCTCTGCTACAGTGGCCTTACAATAGGTTTGCTGGTGACCTGGAGCCCGTGGCAAAAGCTTTGTTAGCTTCTCTGATAGGCCTACAAAATTATCTGGACTTTGGACTTTTGAGGCAATAAGTAGCTAAATGTTCACCTGAATGTAAAAGGGCATGTGCTTCCTGCTGAGGAGTGTTCAGAGCAGTTTGACCTATGCCATACTTCAGTGTTAATTTGATATATTTGCACGCTGAAGGTGGAAGTGTTGTAGCATCATTGGCTCCCTGGGGAAGCTGGACTGTGTTTTCTAGTGTGATGGAGAGGTTTGTCCTTTGGAGGATTGTAATTCTGCTGGTCTGACAAGTGAAGGGTTATGCTTGCTGCAGGGCGAGACGTGAAATATCGGGCAGTGTGGAGGTAGCACACAAATGCCATTGTGAAAGGGTATTTAAAAAAAACTTCATTTATACGTAGACAGAAGAAATTATTTTCCCAGGAAGGATTCCTGGCATCCACACATTGCTTTGTTTCTGCAAATCAGCAGTTCAGGACCTGCCACAGCTCTGGCTGTGTTTGCTGTCTGACAATGGGCACTGAGGGTACCCGGGGATGCCCCACCGTGTGTGGGTGTGTGAGAACCTGAATCCCGTCTGTGTGACTGCTCAGGCTCATTAGGGAAGGGCAGCGTGGGGCACTCCCCAGCCCTCCCAGCTCCCAGCAGAGCACACTGAGGGGCTCTCCTCGGCTCCCCAGCGCCTTTGGGAGAAAGCAAGGCTGAAGCACGGCCATCCTGGGATTGTCCACATGGCTGCTGGGAAATCCAGGTGTAGGGAAACCTCAGCCTGCAGGCTGAGCAGATCCAGGCTTGCTCTCGGGAAGGGGTGAGAGTGGGCTGGTGCTGTGAAACAGAAAGTGCCTCTGCTCCTGCTCACACCCAGGAGCCCAGGGAGCCCGACACGAGTGGGGCCGTGGCTCCCCACGGCTGGGAGATGTTAGTGCAGCCCGTGCCAAGGGCCCCGCGGGCGGCGGGAGGAGGTCGGTGCCGGGGGGTGGCCCTGCACACCCCGCTGCTGGCCAGGGCGGGTGGCCAGGCAGCCTCCCCGGAGCCCGGGGTGCTGTGCCCGCCGGCCCTGCGGGTGCCAAGCTCCCCAGGCACAGTCCAGGAGGGGTGTGTATGTCCCTGGTGTGCCGATGGCGCGTGGCCACGCCGGGGGTGTGACTCAGGGATAATGCCCAGGAAGTTACACCACCGCATTGCAGGAAAGGGCACAGCCGTATTTACAGAGCGTGAGCCTGAGCAGCCTCCCCACCTGCCCATCAGGGCTCCTGGTTCCCATGTGGCAGGAAACTCGAGGGGAGAGAAAACCCAGCTGGAAGGGCAATGATGGCTCCCACCACTGCCCCTGCTCTGCCCATATCCCATCCTCTGCCCATCCCAGAGCTGTGATCCAGCCCGGGTGCTGCTTGCTGGCTTGTCAGGGAAAGGGATGTTTTCTGGTCCTGGGGAAAGGTGATCTTCTCTAGCAACTGCAGGGCCAAAACTCCAGGCTTCCAGAGGGATGTGTTGGAGCCCACCTCTAGCTGGTAAGTGATCCCTGGGGATCAGCTCCACTTCTCCTGAGTGTCCCTTCTGTGGGACATCAGTGGCATTATAGAATCCTGTAATGGTTTGGGTTGGAAGGGACCTGAAGCTCGTCCAGTTCCAACTCCTTGCCAGGGGCAGGGACACCTCCCAGTAGACCAGGTTTCTCCAAGCCCTGTCCGTCCTACAGAGATTTCACAAAAGGCAGAGGAAACAGCATTTATTTTGGTCCTCTCTGAAGGAAAATGAGAGGCTGTGGCTTCTGCAGCTGATGGAACACTTGGAAGGGTGCATCTTGAGGAAAGGAAGCAGACACATATTCTTCTGTGAATTCATGGATTAGGAGTGACACAACTGCAGAGCAGCATTCCAGGGTACAGGACGTTTCAGGGCTTGGAAAACACCGATTATTAAGTATTACTAAATAACAGCTGGAAATTACACTGTATTTTTCAAATGGCTAATTAAGGATAGATGCATAAATTGGGGCACTAGCCCCGTGGAACTGAGCCACGACGTGACTGACCCGGTGCCAAATACCCGTCTGATTGCTCCGATCACAGCGATGGGTCTGGGGAATTCATCCATCTGGAGGGAAAAGCTCCTTGACAACGAGGTTTTGGGTCATCCTGGATGGGATATGGCTCAGAGGGGGGCACCGGAGTGGTGACTCTGCATGAGATCCGTGGAATAGCCACCAGCAGCCCCAGCTGGAAGTGCCAGGGGACTTGGTGCGGTGCTGGGAGGCTCAGCTCTGCATCGCCCTTGCCTTCACAGCTGGCAGGGTGGCAGCTGGGGGACTCTCTAGTGGGCATCAGTCACTGCCAGTGACAGTCTCCTCTGCTCCCAGACCACTGCATCACCGGGCAGTGTCCCCTCCAGCCTCCATGCCTCCACGGTCAGCAGCATCTTCGGCGCCCGACCCCCGCAGCTCCAGGAGAGCGTCCTCGGCATCAGCTTCAAACCCTACAGCCCCGAGGGCAGCCCGGCCCCCACGCCCTGCACGGCCTGTGAGAGCACACGTAAGGATGGGGGCCAGGCTGGTCTCTGGCCACCCTGGCCCCGGTCCCACCTGGAGTGGGGAGGGATGGAGGGAGGCAGGGATGGGTGCCTGTGCCTGCTGCTGGCACAAGCCTTGGCCACAGGCTGGTTTTTCCCTGGGGGGTGTGAGGGGTGCTGGGGGCAAGGGAGAGGACTGTGATGATGGGACAGTGCGGGGTGTGCATGGCTCTGCACTCCCACACCTCGGGGGTCCTCTGGGAAGCCTGGTGGGTAGCAGGGTGTGGGTGTCCTGGGGAGGCAGCTGCTCCCCCTGACCCTGCCTCCACCCTGCTGCCAGGATCCTCCATGTTCAGAGCTCCCTGCATGAGCCAGCGGCGGCTTGTGCTCATCTTCTGCGTCTCCGTCCTCATCGTGCTGCTCATCGCCCTCATCCTGCTGTGTGAGTGGGGCCCCAGCCCAGGGTGGCTCGGGGCTCCTAGAGGGGACCTCAGAGGGGCTGGGGGTCAGCAGGGCCTGGGGATACCTATGCTGGGAAGTGCCAGAGGGAAAGCCCTGGACCCAGAGGCAGCAATGTGCTTTTGCCATTCCCTGAGTGTTCCTGACATCTGGTGGAGAGACAGGAGCCTGGGAAAGGAGATCTGCTGCCTCGGCTGACAGCGATATTTCGGGAGCTTGGGGCTGCAATGTTCTTTCCTTCTGCTGGGCTCGCTTTGGTGGGCAGCAGGGCCCCTCCAGCAGCACCCACAGTCTCCCTCCCCTGGGCAGGATCTGCCAAACAAATTGTGGTCCGCAGGTGGAACACACAGACAGCAGGGAATCCCTTTAATCCCGGTAACATCCAGCTGCCGTTCTCCAGCTGGTGGGCTTGAAGCACTCGCAGGCAGAATGCATGTTTCTGTGGGTGAAGAGAGAGGGACTTGCAGCAGCTGGGCAGCACAGGGGGGTGCTCAGGGTGGCCAGTCCTTCCACAGCCCTGTGTCCAGCAGCTTCTCGCACTTGACTCGAGCTCAGCTCACACTCACACCTGGTGTTTGGGAGCACCCCTGTGCCTGGCGTATCTTCAGATGCCCATGCAGGTGGGTCACAGCCCCCTCACCCACAGCCAGCCCTGGCCTCACCACGGCATTTTCTTGCTTCCAGTTATGTTCTGGCGGTCGCAGACGGGCATCGTGTACAAGGAGCCGGCCGAGAGCTGCAAGGACAGCGCCGTGCGCTGCGACGGCATCGTCGACTGCTCCCAGCGCAGCGACGAGCTGGGCTGTGGTGAGGCACTGGGAGCTGGGGCAGTGGGAGCGAGGGGAGCCCCGGGGTGCTGGGCATGCCCCTGATTCCCCTGCTCCATCCCACAGTGCGCTTCACATCCGAGGAGTCCTTGCTCCACGTCTACTCCAGCACCGAGAGCCAGTGGCTGCCAGTGTGCAGCAGCGCCTGGGACGAGTCCTTCTCCAGGAAGACCTGCCGGCAGCTGGGGTTTCAGAAGTAATTCCTGAGCATGGGTGGTTCTGCTGGGGCGTTGGGGCACTGCCAGCCCCCTGGGCACTGTGCTCTTTCTGCCAGCATTTTGTTTTTCTGCTGGAAGGTGGCATGGCCAGCGCTGCTTGTAAGACAGGGACCAGATGGTCAGTGCCGGGCCACGGGGACCCTCACTGCCTCTCCTCTTCCCTCCCAGTGCATCTCAGACCGAATACATCCCCCTGCGCGTCTCTGGCAAGAGCCTCACGGTGACTGATGAGCGAGAGACCATCCAGCAGAGCCTCAACAGGTACTAGGCAGTGTCGCCTCCTGCCCTGCCCCTGCCCTGGTGCCACAGGAATGGGGCTGAGGCCGTGTCTCCCTCCTCTCTCCTGCAGCTCACAGTGTCTCACGGGAAAGTACGTCTCCCTCCGATGCACAAGTAAGGGGCTGGCTGGCACACGGCCAAGGGCAGGCAGGGAGCTTTTGCACGGGCTTGGGAGTGCTTTCCTCTCTTCTCTGCACAGGGTTGGGCAAATGGGGTGTTTTCCAGCAAACTGGGTAATAGAAAACTATGAAGATTGCATTCCCTGGTCCCCACTGCCCCTACGAGTGGTGCCTGCGGGTGGTGGGGATGTTGTGTGTGTGTCTCCCTTCCAAGCCCACCTTCCCTCCCAGCCCTCCTCTCAGCCCTGCTCTCCCCTCTCCAGCCTGTGGGCAGAGGATTTCTGGCCGGATCATCGGGGGAAAGGAGACCTCTGTGAACAAGTGGCCGTGGCAGGTCAGCGTGCAGTACGGGCCCATCCACATCTGCGGCGGCACCATCATCGACGCGCAGTGGGTGCTCACGGCAGCCCACTGCTTCTTCATGTGAGTGCTGCTGCCAGCCCCGCTCAGCCCAGCCCCACACGCCCCTGCCTCACCCCTTCCTGCCCCATCTCGCCCTGCCAGGAACAGCATGAAGATCCTGGACGACTGGAAGGTGTACGGGGGGGTGTCGGACCTGAAGCAGCCCATGGAGGGCATCCCTGTGTCCCAGGTCATCATCAACTCCAACTACAGCGACGACCACGACGACTACGACATCGCCCTCATGAAGCTCTCCAGGCCACTGACACTCTCAGGTGAGGCCTCCCAGCTTACCTGGACCTGGCTGGGGGTGGTGTTTGGGGGGACAGGGAGAGACTGAGGATGGGCAGGAGTGAGAGGGAGCTCGGGCCCCCTTGGAACCACACCCTGGGGTGTGTGAGGCTGCTGCCAGCTGGAGCATCCAACTCTGCTGTGGCCACCTTGCTTTCCCTGGCCTGTCCCATGGCCAGGAAGGGGCTGGCACACGCAGCCACGAGCTCAGGTGTGCCACCAGCACTGTGCCCCATATGGGGCCAGCAAGACCCTTCTGGGGTGGGCAGAGAGGGGCCCTTTCCTGCCCCCCATGCTCCTCCCTGGCTGCAGGGCTTGTGACTACAGTGGCTATTTTGCTCCTGGGTGACTCATCCTTCCCTCCTCGCCTGGCTTTCATCATGTCTCCCTCCAGCCCATGTTCGCCCAGCCTGCCTCCCCACGTATGGCCAGCGATTCCAGACCGGCAGGTCCTGCTTCATCACGGGCTTTGGGAAGACCAGGGAGAATGAAGGTGAGGGAGGACACTGGCTTCCCACAGGCACCTCCTGCCCATGGGCACAGCTCTGCTGTGGTGCTCCAGGACTGTTCCACAGGGATAACTCTCAGGGGTTGCCCTCCCCAGCCGTGAGGCTTTGCAGAAATAAGACCCGTGAGAAACACGAGCTTCCTCCCTCGCTGCTGCAGAGAGGCCCGGGGGCCGTGGGGGGCCGAGGCCCCCCCTGCCCCACAGCTCTTCCTGCCTTGCAGATAACACGTCCCCAAAGCTGCGGGAGGCCGAGGTGAAGCTCATCGACTACAAGATCTGCAACAGCGACAAGGTGTACGAGGGCTACCTGACCCCCAGGATGATGTGTGCTGGGTACCTGCAGGGAGGCAAAGACGCCTGCCAGGTGAGCTGGGGGCACGTGGCACACCAGGAGAGGGCTGCCCGCTTTTGGGTACCCACAGAGGGGCACCTGCTGTCTCCCCTCCTCACTGCTCTGCCCCTCTGAGCCAGGGTGACAGCGGAGGGCCCCTGGTCTGCGAGGACAATGGCCGCTGGTACGTGGCCGGGGTGACAAGCTGGGGAACAGGATGTGGCCAGAAGAACAAGCCTGGAGTTTACACCCGGGTGACAAAGCTCCTCAGCTGGATATACAGCAAAATGGAGGTGAGGTGGCAGGGCTGTGCTTGGGCAGGAAGGCCCTGGTGCACAGAGAGGGGCTGTACCCCCCCAGCCCAGCCTCTGGCACCTCACCCTTGCTCTCCCCTCTCTCCTTTGCAGAGCGAGAATGACTAAAACCGGGATGGACACTTGCCTGGGCTGTACCTCTCCAGCTGGCACAGGCCACTGCCCCGGGCTGCTGCCAGGGCACAATGCTACCAGCCCATCCCACACCTCTCTGGACTGTCCATGCAGCCAGGGACCTGTCGCTGCCCCCGAACTCTGAAAACACGGCGCCTGTGAAGTGACTCTGCCCTCTCCTTGTGCCAGGGGGTGACCTGGTGGCAGCTGGGCACAGCACCCAGCCAGCCCCAGGGGGACACAGCCCATGCTGGCAGCTGACTGTGCTGGCTGGGGGCACCTCCTCACCCCGTGTCTGTGGTTCTCCTGTAAATAGACCTGTCTGGACGGGGTGTCACGAGTGCTTCCTGGCAGGACTGTGGCACCCTCGGCGGGCGAGGTGCCTGCAGTGGCAGTGGGGTGCCCACGTTGAGGGAACACTCCTCGTGCCAGATCACAGCTGTGCCACCTTGGGGTGCGGGATGGGGCAGCTGTGCCCACACTGCCCACACCTACGGCTTCCCCACGAAGGGGAGCCCCGAGGTGCAGTTATTCCACCCTCCGGGAGGAGCGGCCGGTGCTCTCGTGTTTGTGGATAGATTTAGGAAGTGTCTAATGTTCTGCCCTGTGAGAGAAATACCTGTTTGTTTATTTTTCCTTGCCGTGGATCTGGTCTGAGCCAGAGCTCCCCTCAGGACCGCAGCCAGCCTCGGTCCCCACCCTGCTCTGGGGAGGACTTGGGAGCAGAGTGGGGCAGGTCTGAGCTCCGGGGGTGGCTGCAGGAGGTGTGACCAAAGCCAGCAGCAGCAGCCAAAGGCCAAGCTGGAGTGTGATGCAGAGCAGCCACCTTCCCGGGCAGCACCCAGCGTGAGCCAGCCCTGGATTCCCCTGCTGTGAGCTCAGTGGCCGTGCTGGATTGCTGCCTCTGGCTCCCAGCATGCAGGGATGGCCCAGCCAGCCTCACCTCCCTGGCCACACTGGAGTAGAGACACCTTTCCCTCAAGGAAACAAGTGCCTGCATCTCTTTGTGGATGCTGGGGGCACACGAGGCACCGTGGGAGATCCCCATGGTGAGCAGGGCAGGCTGCTCCTCTCCCCAGCCACGTGTTCAGCCGCAGAAGGGTCCTGGATTGCCTGGCCACCCTGCACTCTTCTAATGAATGTTTTAGTAGTGTTCCACTTGCAGATGGCTCTTCTGAACGGGCTGGAGAGGAAAGGGTGAGTCCCTGGCTGTCACCATTCCTGTGGGTATGTGTGATGGAGTGGCCCTTCCTGCCCTTCACCCCCTGGGTTACTGCTTGTGGCTGGGAGAAAAGGGGTGTCTTGAGACCTTCACCTCCTGGGAGCATCCCCCGGGTTCCCAACACTGGCTGCTTTCCATGGAAAAGGTTTTGGGCAGGCAGAGAGTTTGTGTTTGAAGTTCTGGATAGCAGGTCCAGTGTGGCTCTAGGTGTGCAGAAACCACCTGGGACTCGGCTGCCACCTGCCTGCTGGTGGGGAGGGGTGAGTGAAACCCTTGTGTTGTCTCTCTCGTGGATTTGGAGCAGTGCAGGGCGGCTGCTCCGGACCTGAACTGTAACAAAGCCAGTCGCTGCCTTTTGGGAAGCACTGAGTCAGCCTGACCTCAAATCCCTCTCCAGAGCAGCAGCCCAGAAACCTCCCACAGATGCAGGAGCCGCCCATGAAGAACAGGGTGTGCAGAGCCCAGGGGACTGTTTGCACTTTATAATACGTGAAAAGGGCCTGGGCAAACCTGCTGAATTCCAGGGAGGAATGGGGGATTCTTGCTCCCTGCGTGCAGAGGCTGGACATGTTACCAAGACCACCCTGCAAGTGCAGTGGTCACAGCAATAGATTTTTCCATGAAGAGAAACAGCTGATCTTTAGTAAGAGTGGGGGCCCCATGTGCCTTCCCCATTTTATGTTGGTCTGGCTGGGCTGTTCCCATGTTTCTCTGTGCTTTGGAAATCATAGGCCAGTGTCCCCAGGGGATATGACTTAGAAAAATACAGTCTGCTGGGCACCACGTGAATTAAAGGCCATTAGTGGTGGTTTTCCCAATCTCTCCTTTTATAGCTCTTTGTTCTGCTGTGTCAAAACAGATTTGTTTATAGGGTTTCAGTGATGATGTTTCTCTACAAAAATGTTTTTCCTCTGGTTTGGTTCCCTTCCATGGTCAGTAACATCATCACTTGGCACGGAGTCGCTGGACTTCGTCTTGTGCAATACCAGCTCTGGCTGTGCTCAACTGGGGAATGCAGGAGCTTCAGTGCAGCCACTGCTTGATCCTCTCTCCTGGAGAGATTCAAGGCACTGGGAATGACTGGGGCCTGATGGAAAATGTTGTTATTGGGGTACACACAGCCTTATGGCTACACAGAGCTTTTGTCAGCGCTTGGTTCTGCCACGTCCCTGAGCAGTCTGGGGGCTGCATTGGCACCCAACAGGCAGTTTACAAGCTTGGCATTACAGGGAGAGACCTTAAAATAGGAGGTGAAAGCTCTGGAGAGCAAGTGGCTCTGTCCCTGCTCCAAGCACACAGGGAGGAGCCGCCTGCTCCAGGGTAAGGGACACGGGCTCAGATGAAATCGTGCCCTGTTGAAGCCACTGGCAGTGCTCCTGTTAACTCCAATAGCTGAGGAGATCAGCCCAGCCCCTTCGTTAGCATAAATCAGCATCTCCTGCCTGGTCTCCACATTACTTTTGGCCCAATTTGCCCAGAAAAGAAGCTGGACCTCAGTACAGTGTCCCCAGCAGCAGGGCCCTGGGGAGAAGATGTTTGCCATTAGTGACTGATGGAGCTGCTTTTCTGATGGGAGCAGCACAGGAGACCCTTCCCTTCCCACCCTCACCATGGGGCTCTCTATTTTACCTGAGTTTGTAGAAGGGAAAAAAAATCTCTACTGCCAATTTTTTCGATTCTAATCACTTTGGGCACTGCCTTGGAAATTTTAAATAAGGAACAAGGGATGGAGAGCACAGAGCACACCCAGCTGCATCCAGTCCTGTGTCCTGGCTGCTGCTGCACGGGGGGTCTGATGTTTAGGGCTCTGCAGAGACCCCCCTATGCTTCCTGCAGTCCCCAGGGCATGGTCACACCTGAGTGTGTTACTGTGTGCTGTGGGTTATGACAGCTGAGAGGCGGATGAGGTCAGAGAAGCCCAAAACTCGATTATAACAGCTTGATCCCAGCTTCCCTCTCTGCAGGGTAACTGACAGCCTTATCATGTTATCCTCATGCATTAAAGAGACTTGATGTTGTCCAGCTCCTCAGTGTTGGTCTATCTCCTGACCCTTCGAATAATTGCCTTGAAATGCCAGTGCTGGTTTATTTTCTTTTTTATGTTTTACTGGAACCTGGGAAATGGCTGTAGAATAGTCTGTGTGCCGTCACTGCCTGATTTCTATCTCAGATGCATTTGAGTTATTATGGGATGAGCCAGCTCAGTGGTGACAGCATTGCTGAGGTGTTTTGTCGAGAAGAAATGGCTCTCCAGGGCCGGGCAGACGTGGGTGTGCCAGTCTGGCCTGGAAGGGAGAGGTGCCCACGGCTCCTGGCAGTGCCCCCAGCACCCTGTTCCCATTTCACATCCTATATTAAACACGTATCTCCCTCCCAGTCTTGCTCCTCCCCACATTCCCAGCTGTCTGATGGGAATAAACTGGTCGCTTGCCACAAAACTCTGTGACAGGGCATTCACAGCAGTGGTTTGTCCAGCCCTTCTCCTGTCAGGCAGCATTTTGCTGCTGCTACCTGAAGTGTGTACTGGTTCCTGACCGGCTCTGGGTAAGACCCAAAGGGTCTGTCTTTCTGCAGCTGTCAAATGCTGGTGGATCTGGGGGAGCCAGTGCAGGCAGCAGGTCCTGAGAGTGCCTGAAACCAAACCAGGTGCTGCCACAACTGAGCCAGGCCGGGCTGGAAGTGCCCCCGCTGCCCACCCTGGCCTGGGTGGTCCCCAAGATCTGGGTGAGTGATATGACTGAAGCCCTGTGAACTGGGCCACCTGGCCTGGCAGCGTGGCAGCCCCTCTCCCAGCTCTGCCTTCCCGTCCTCAGGAGGCAGCAAGACACAAAAGCTTCTGTGCCGTGTTTACCAGTTCATCTGTGTGTGCTTTCTGTTGGCCCCAGAGGAGCTCCAGCATCTGTTCCTTGCTCACTGCTTTCCCTGCTCCCTCCACGGCAGGTGCAGAGCACGGGGCAGAGTCCACCCCTGCTCTCCAAGGTGTGCAGGGATGTTCCAAAGCCAGGTAAGCCTTTCACCCCGCACACACCGTGACTTTTGCAGAACCACAGAATCACAGAATGTGTTGGGTTGGAAGGGATCTTAAAGCTCATCTCATTCCAACCCCACTGCCATGGGCAGGGACACCTTCCACCAGCCCAGGTTGCTCCAACCTGGCCTTGGACACTTCCAGGGCTGGGGCAGCCACAGCTTCTCTGGGCAACCTGTGCCAGGGCCTCCCCACCCTCACAGGGAAGAATTTCTTCCTAATATCTAATCTAACCCTGCCCTGGCAGTGGGAAGCCATTCCCCCTTGTCCCGTCACTCCTTGCCCTTATCCAGAGTCCCTCTCCAGCCCTCTCGGAGCCCATTTAGGCACTGAAAGGGGCTCTGAGGTCTCCCCGGAGCCTCCTCTTCTCCGAGCCAGTGTTCACAGCGGAGATGCTCCATCCCCCCAGAGCATCCCCGTGCCCTCCTCTGGGGGGATCTGGGAGCCGCCGAGGGCCGGGCCGTGCTGGCCGCGCCCCCCGCCGCTGCCCGCGCCCCCCGCCCCGCAGGCGCCGCCCCCGCCCCGCCCGCCCGCTCCCCTTTGTGCGGCAGCCCCGCTCCGCGCTCCGCTCCGCTCCCCCGGCACCGCCCGGAGCCGCGGGGCCAGCCCGGCTCCGCACGGCCCCGCACGGCCAGCGCAGGTGGGTCCGGCCGTCGGGGGGCTTCGAGGGGCCGCTGGGGAGGGAGGGGGGGGAGGAGGGAGAGAGGTGGGTGGGTGGGTGGGTGGTCTGTCGGTCGGTCTGGGTACTCGGGGTCCCCCTGGCAGCGCTGGGCTCGGCCGTGCCCGCTCGGGGGTCCCGTGTCCCGGTGCCGGAGTGCGGTACGGCGCCTCACCCCGCTCCTGCCGGGGAGGCGGCCGGGACCCCGCCCCGCTGCCCCGGGGGCATCGCCCCGCGCCCCGACCCGCCCGCATCCCGGCCCCGGCGGCTGCCATGGCAACGGCGGGTACCGCGGTTTCCCCTTATCCCACCGTTGCCTGGTTACCAGCCCCCCCTCCCCGGTACTGGGGAGGATGCCCCGGTGGACCCCACCCGAGACCACCGTGGGTAGAACTGGTTCACACCCGGTGCTCCCCAGGCTGGCTGGGCTCTGCAGAGCGGGGGGATCCCGGGGAGCCGGGGGGGGAGGCCGGGGAGCGGGGGGATCCCTCCTTGGCAGCGCTCTGGCTCCCGTTGTTCGATATTGTAGTAACACCGCGCGTAAACAGCCAAGCGCCTTATCCCGGGAAGGCGTCTGGAGGAAGGGAAGAGCGTGTCTCTCAGGGTGTGTAATTAATGCTTCCAAAGACACGGATTTTGGAGTCCATGTGGTGGAACTCGGATCTTGCAGGGATATTTCTGTGGGAGGGAAAGTGACAGGTGGTTTGTGTGGATGTGAATAAGCAGTGTGAAAGAGCAGCCTCTCGGGAAAAGCCGTGTGTGGATCAGGATGCAGCACCCATTTTGGCAAGCCCGCGGTGCTCCACGGTGCTGTTGGGTCCCGCTGGGATTTTCAGTCCCTGTGGGTGGTTTAAAGACAAGCCCAGAGAATCCCTGGCCGTGTGCAGCCGGACTGTGGTTCTGAGGTGGAGTGAGGTGGAACGTGTGTGGGAGAGATGCCAGCGTGAAGTGCTGTGGCTGCCGAGCCAGGCCACCTGTTAGAGCGTGTCTGGGACCTGCCGGAGAATATCCCGTGCCAGGTGTGAGGCTGGCTGTGC